CTCTTCCCTTCCCTTCCCCTGGACCCTGGTTTTTCTGTGGCTTTTCCCTCAGGGACTTTCCTGACTGTATCTCTGCTCCCCAGGGTGGCTGAGGTTCTGGAAGGCAAAGGAGCTGGGAAGAAGGGCCGCTTTCAGGGCAAGGCCACCAAAATGAGCCAGCGGGCAGAAGTGCAGGCGCTTCTCCAGGACTATATAAGCACGCAGAGTGCTGAGGAGTGAGAACTCAGCATGCCCTCCCCAGTGGTCCTGCCATTGAGAACAGGCCTCCTGTGACCACAGAAGGGGTCTGTTGGACAATAAAATAGTTTGACTCAAGTGGTTGTCGTATACACATGTTTATCTGACTAATTTGTACAGTATACTCCAGTGTGCTTATGCAAATTAGTATTTCTTTTTGAATAAACCATTTTTTAATTTGGGCCTTATTAGGTATAATCTACATGAGTAAGCATTATGTTGATGAAATGTACTGATTTATCTAGGTCAGTATGTTTTAATCTACCCTTATGTTAGATTATGGCGACCCCATGTGTGTTAAGAGTAGAATTGTACTCCATAGGGATTTCAGTGGCTGCGTTTTCAGAAGCAGATTGCCAGGCCTTTCTTCTGAGGCAACTCTGAATGGACTCGAACCTCTAACCTTTTGGTTGGCAGCTGAGCACGTCAACCATTTGAGTTACCCAGCTTGTCATAAAAGTACTGATTTATCTAAACTCAGCTGAAACATTTCTTAATGCAGAAATGTAGTTGCCTAAGGATAGTGGAAGTCAGTTTGGAGGCTTGACCAAGGGCTTAGACTCATTCAAATCTTCTTGTTTTCTTCTTTTCTTTTTTTTTCTTTTCCTTTCTTTTCCCAGTCTAGTGCTTCAGAACTAAAAAAAATCAATGATTTTGCAAATAGGTCAGGAAGTCAGAAAAATATACAGTAGAAAGATGCCCCAAGTCTGTTATTGAGACAGTAAAAGGCTGGAAGAAGTTACCTCATGCAAGACTAACTCTGAGAAAGCTGGTGTAGCAATATTAGACAAATTAGACTTGAAGGCAGAAAGCATTATTACAGACCAACAGGGAAAAGTAATGATAAAAGTGTCAATCCGCAGGAAGATAAATTTATATGCATTTAATAAAAGCTTCAAAGTAATAAAGTAGACATTGACAGATCTAAAAGGAGAATAAGGAGCCCTGGTGGTAGAACGGTTAAGTGGTTGGCTGCTAACCAAAAGGTTGGTGGTTCGAATCCAGGCAGCAGTTCTGTGCAAGAAAGACCTGGCAATCTATCGTAAAGATTACAGCCAAGAAAACCCTATGGGGCAGTTCTACTCTTGTCACATGGGGTTGCTGTGAGTCGAAATCAACTTGATGGCACTCAACGACAACAACAAAAGGAGAACTAGAGAAACCCATAGTTGATGGAAAATTTAAACTCGTCTTTCAGAAACTGATAGAACAAGAGGAAGTATAATATTGTGGTTAAGAGCACGGGCTTTGGAGTTTCACGAACCTGGTAGAAATCCTGGCTTTGTGCATCTGTAGGTGGTAAAACTAGAAAAAAAGCAAGGAATTGATTATTTTAAAAAAAAAGTCAGGACAGCGTTTACCTCTGGGTGGAAGAAGTGTGAGTGAGTGTGGAGAAGAGACCCAGGGTAGCTGTGGGGAGGGTGGTTTCTGGGGTCCTGGCAATTTTCTGTTTCTTGACCGGTGTCAGTTATATAGGTGTTTGCTTTGTAATTATTCATCATAGTGTACACTGATATATTATTTTCACGTGGTTATATTTCACAATTCAAGAATTAATCCTACTGAGAAAAATTCTGTCACTCACCTTGGGAAAAGTATCTTGCCTTTTCGACCTTCAGTTTCCTTATCCGTAAAATGCCAGTGATGACAGCACCCAGTCCACTGAGCTGTGAGGTAACATGCTCAACTGTAAGTGCTCAAGAAAACCACTGTGGATTCTTGAGAACACCTCTTTTTTTTTTCAGGATCCCATGTCTTTTTTTTATTATTATTTAAATTGTGGTAACTATATACGTAACAAAATATTTGCCATTTCAGCATTCTTCCTGTGTCAATTTTGTGGCATTAATTATGTTCATCATGTTGTTCAACTGTCACCCTTATCTGGTCCCAAATTTTTCCGTCACCCTTAGCAGAACCTCAGTGTCCCCTAAGTGTTGAGTCCACCTTTCCCCTTCCCTCCCACCCGCCCCTGGTAGCCACTAATAAACTTTATTCTCTATACACTTACCTATTCTAGATATTTCATATAAGTGGGATCATACAGTATTTGTCCTTTTGTGACTGACTTATAGAACATGTAATTTTTTATTGTCTCCTAATGTTCTGTTCCTCTTAACCTGCAAATTGATTCTTCCTTGACCAAAGTCATGGCATGTCAGGGCTGGAAGAGAAACGCAGACTAGCTCTTTCTGGCTTCCTGCTTTACACATGGTGACACCAGGGCCCAGGTCTCTGGTAGAGCTGGTAGAGACCCAGGCTAGACCACATGCTCTGTGTCCACTGAAGATAAGCAATTCACAGATCAATTGGGATGAAAAACTGCTCAATGAATTATTCTTGCTTCTCACCAAATTGATGACAAAAGCTCCAGGGAACCTGGCCACCTGCAGCACTATACGAGCAAAGTCAGTATTGACGCTGGGCTCTCACCTGGCGTCAGGTATCTTGCAACTAACAATGGCAGCAGATACTTTCAACTGCCAGAAGAAAATCTCAACGTCTGACTGATTTAGACACAGCTGTTTGAACGAGTGCCCTCAACTGGGAAACCTCCCCCCTCACTTATTTTAGGAAAAAAATTATATGGCTTGCCATGAACAATAAAGTTACTTTGTAAAAGCATATACTAAGGAAGAAAATGTGGACATACGAATGTGAACACAGCATCCTAAGAAGGGAACTTTCTGAAATAAGTAGAAGTACACAAACACTTGAGCAAATTAAGTGAAAACAGTAATCGGTTGTGTGAGGAAAGGGAAGGTAAAGCAGCAGCATTGGAACTTGTGATGCCGTTCATGTCTGTCCCAGGGGCCCGAATCCAGGGCACCAGGGAGAGCAACAGTTCGTGTTCAGGGAGAGGAGGTGGATTGTCCTTTATGAGGTTCACCAGGAAACAAAGCAGATTGAGTTTCATTATTTCTTTTGGCTAACATTAAATTAGCACAAGCAGAATAATAGGTATTTTATGTATTAAATACAGAACATGATAGAGTTGTATGTACACACCCACACAGATTTTCTGGAACACTGCTGTCATCTACTCTTCCGACATAGGAATAGTGAGAGGTGGCTTCTTGGCTCCTAAGAAAGTTTTTGTTACATAAATCTCCATAAACCGCTAAAGACATAGATGCCGAGGCTTGTGCTTTGGTGAGGATCTCCTGCGTAACTGTGTGTGCACGTGTATATACCGGGTCCAGTGTTAGTATGAAAGATGAAAGACAGACACAGAGCAGGAGACAGACTAAACTCAGGAAGGCATTGTAGGTGGTGCCAAATGTCCTCACCCGTTTGTTAGTCCTGAGTGGAAACCAGTGAGTTGGCCAAGCTATACTAGAAAGCCAGGTCTTTTCCTTAATAAGAACTTAAATAAACTCTAGGGCCCTGCCTGGTACTGATGGGAAAACAGATGGCTCAGCATACCCTAATGAAAAACTCCCTTGCAGAAAGCTGTGTCTCCCATTCCTTTCCCGAATTTGATCCAAGCCATGACTAAGGTACCCTTGCCCAAGGGCAACTGGGGCTGTTTGGAAAAGAGTGATGGAGAAGTTTCCATCTTTCCAGAAAGGTCTGCACCTTCTGTGCCATCCACATGACTATTGCTGACTGAGCGCCCGGCACTAAACCTTAAGGAATAAGAGCAGGTCTTAGTTAACTTACTTGGGGCTGTGTCTAGAATCAGAAGAGGCACTCACAGGGACAGCCTTTCTCCCTGCAGAAGCGCTGAGGGCCATGTCAATATCCCCGTTCATCTTAAAACACCAACCTCAAAGCCAAGTGTTTCAGAAAGAAGGGAGGAATCATTATTTTCTTCTGTGAAAGTAAATGTCTCCCTTTCTTTCATATCATGTAACTTGTATTTTTGTTGTTGACTTGTGTACGTAAACAACCACAGAATTCCTCTGTTCATAAATATTCAACAAATACTTATTGAGAGCATAGTGTGTTGCCAGACACTGTACTGTAAGCACTGGGGCCATGTTGGTCAATAATACAGCCATGGTCCCTGTCCTTATGGTGTTTACAGCTGTGGAAAAGAGACACAGGAAAGAGAGAAGCAAACAAATGTTTAATTATAAATTCTGTTAAACCGAAGAGGATAAAACAGGGTGAAGTAATAGAAAATAACGGGGTAGAGGGAAGAGCAGGGGAGGGCTGTGGCAGTGCCAAAGGAGCCTTGGGGAGAATTTAGACCCCTCCCCTCCAGCATCCAAGCCACCTCAAAATAGTATGCTTACTATGCAAACATAGTTTGTCTTAAGTCTGCTGGTTTCCCTTCCAACCAGATGGCCTCCCTGAGCCGGTACTTTTTTAAAAAAAAAAAATTTTATTGTGTTTTTGGTGAAAATTTACACGGGAAATTAGGTTCTCAATAGTTTCTATACATATTGTTCAGAAACCCTGGTGGTGTAGTGGTTAAGTGCTACAGCTGCTAACCAAAAGGTCGGCAGTTGGAATCCACCAGGCGCTCCTTGGAAGCCCTATGGGGCAGTTCTACTCTGTCCTATAGGGTCACTATGAGTCAGAATTGACTCGACGGCAATGGGTTTGGTTTTATACATATTGTTCAGTGACACTGGTTACATTCTTCACAATGTATCAGTATTCTCATTATTTCCATTTTGGTTGTTCTGTTTCCATTCATCTAGCTTCCTGTGTTCCCCTGTAGCCTTTTCATCTTTCGTCTAGGGTAAATAAAGATTATTTTGAGAAGCACAGTGCTCATGGGTGATATTATTTATTTTATGGGCCAATCTATCATTTGGCTGAAAGGTGACCTCTGGGAGTGGTTTTTGAGTCCCAAGTTTAAAGAGTATCTCAGGGTGATAATCTCAGGGGTTCATCTAGTCTCGACTGGTCCAGTAAGTCTGGCCATTTTTTAGGAATTTGAGTTTTGTTTTATATTTTTCTCCCATTCTCTCTGGGACCATCTATTGGGTCCCTGGTCGCAACAGCCAGTAGTGGTAGCTAGGAACCATCTAGTTTTTCTCGTCTCAGGGTAAGTGATGTCGTTCGTGTAGACTATTGGTTCTGTAGACTAGTTTCTTCTTTGAGTCTTTGGTTTCCTTCTTTCTCTTTAGGTCTGGAGGAGTAGAGAACAATAGTTGTATCTTAGATAGCCACTCACAAGCTTTTAAGACTCCAGACTTTTTATTTTCCTGAGCCCCTTCTTTATAGAAATTCTGGAACTGCAAATTGTCCTCTAGCCCCAGGTGACCAGGGTTTTGAAGAGGCTGCTGGATTCATCAAAAACTAACACATATCTCAGGCACCTTCTACGTGGCAGCCATAGGGAGGCAAAGACTAAATCCAACATGGAGCTTGTATTGCTGTTCGCCCAGATGGATCTCTCCAACTTTCCATCACTGCTTGGCCATTTCTTCTGATTCCACAAGGTCCACCTCTTTCCCCATTAGCAGGAGGTAAATTCTGTGTTACAGCTCAGGAGAAAGAAGGTATTGAGTGGTGTTAAGTGCACTCACAGTGTTGTGTAACCATCACTACAATTTATTTCCAGATATATTTCATCATCCCAAACAGAAACTCTGTACCCATAAAACAATACCTCCCCATTACTCCCTCCTTCTACCCCCTGGTAACCTCTGTTCTACTTTCTATCTCTATGAATTTGCCTAGTCTAGGTACCTCGTATAAGTGGAATCATACAATATTTGTCTT